GGGCGAGGCACAAGAATTCCAGCTCACAAAAACCGTTGCGGTTCCAACATTTGTTTTCATTCTGCATTGGACTGAAATCGAGACCTTGCAGAAAGCCGAGCGAGCCCACCCCGGCGTAGCCATGCCTCAGCGCTCTGCTCTGCCTGGTTCAGGGCAAGGACTCGCACTCAGTCGCCCCCGGCGCAGGGGAGGGCCCGACCACCAGGCGAGCGGCTGCTACGGGGCATGCTCTGGCTTTCGCTCACTCTCTCCTTTCTGCAAAAAGGTTTGGTTTCATTTTCCGACAAATAAACGTATCCTAGAAAATCTCCCAACTTGCTCCAGTTCTCAGCCCCGGCAGGGATAGGAGCTAGAAGCACATCTTGGCTTTGAGAACCAGTAACCCACAGTCTGGCCTGACCCACCTGCCTCCATCTGAGGTTGCTTGTTGATCACAAGGATCACTGATTATTTCATTTTGAAAAGAAAGGACATCCCATGACCCCTTAGATACAACTGGGTACCTACGGGAATGCCAGCCAGACGCACTGGTTCCAGGGCAGCACTTGGGCCATGGAGACTTTGAATGAGACCCCTGGGAGGAAGCACGGCCCCTTTGAAATCAGCATCTTGCCTGAATACATACCAGAGAATTTACCGCAAAGCACTCTCACTTCACTAAAATGCAGCCACCTCTGGGGTGGAAAGCAGCAGATGTTGAATGGCACAGCATAACAGTTTGCAGCAGCATGGGAGAAATAGAAAGTAATACCCAGCTGAGACTGCAGAGGGAACTTAAAGAGGGTGAGGGCAGTTACCCAGGTCGGGATTTGGCTAGGACATTAGGTTCCCAGAGACGCCCGTCTGGGGGAAATCGGGAGTGAAAATGCATGGGCTTTGCAGTTGGCTGGAAGGAGATGTGATCAGGTACACGCACTGCAGCAGCTGGGCCTGCGGGGGCTACTGGCACATGGAGCCATAGGGTAAGTTGGGGCGAGCTCAGTGGTATGTCCCATTTGACAAAGCGCTCTCCCAGCCGTGCAGCACAGATTGGGGGCATGGTGCCAGCTAGGGCAATGCCACCCACACACCCTGCAGCACCACAGCCGTCCCACCCAAGTACTGGCCTGACCCTGCTTAGCCCCTGAGAGGATGACCTCCACCCCACCCCAAGCCCTACTCCTGGCATTGCTTCGGGTGATGCTGATACAGGACTGGCACGTCCAGCAGTGATCTCAATCCAGATTGCGGCTGGCTCGGAGGAGACACAAAGCCCTCAGCAGCCCCTCACCTCACGGAGAGCTGGTACCCAGCCCGTTCAGGCAAGCACTCACCTTGCAGGGGCGCAGACACACCGGCCATCCCGTATCACTGCTTCTTTGCTAGCACCGATAGCCCAGGTGCCAAGGGGAATGGGGGATGGGCAGAAGGGGAACCCTGTATCCAGGATTGCAGACAAAATCCTGTTCCACTGAGTCCCTGGGACGCCCTGATGTGTCCCAGCGAGCCTGGCCCACGCAGCAGGCCGGGGAGCCCTCCCTGGCTCAGTCTGGCTCCCTGGGCAGGGCAGGGTGCTGCTGCAGACAGCCTGTTGGCAGGTCGGGCCCCACGTGCTGACATGCAGCAGCCCTATCTGTTGAGCCTTGTTCTGATGAGCTCGTCGGTCCGCAGGCAGAGGCAATGGGACTCGGAGTCCAGGAGCAGCCCGGTCAGCAGCTCATGGCAAGAGGGGAGCTCAGACGCTAGTGCCTGGCCCCTTACCGACCCCGCCGCACCCACACCGCTGTGCTGGGCCTACCGCCTGCCACGCACCCTCTGCCCACCCGGCCCCTCGCAGCCCTGGCCACCACATGCGCACACTAGCCCTGGCCTATCAGAGGGTGGCAGCTCACGGCATTTAACTGCAGATCCAGAGTCAGATTGCAGTGACTTCGGAGTAAGTGCAGTGACCCCAGACTGACCCCAGTTAAAGCGCATCAGACTCCAGCCAGTGGCCAGAAAGCAGCCGCTGTTGCAATGGCCCCGTCCTGCTCCGTCTCCGCTCCCTGTGCCCCCGGCACAGCCACACACGCGCCACAGGAACTACAGAGAAGTCTCCTGCTTCACATCAGAGCGCTCCGCTTGGCCTGGTGCAGGCCAGACAGTCCACGAGATTACATAGATTTGGGGCCAGGTTCTCCACTGCCTGGCACCATGTGTCACCATTTACACCAGTGCAAAGTAAGCGTGAAATGCTGCTAAGCGGGAAAGGGAATATTTGCACCCTTTGCACTGGTGTGAATGACTGCAGGAGGTGCAGGGCGATGGCCAGGCAGGCCCTGCAAGCTAAAGACCTGGACTCCCTTCACTCACTGTTAGTGTCCTTGTTTCAGGCTCACTAGATCTGCACTGTCCTCTCCCCTCCCCCACGTGCAGGGTCCTCCGCCTTTCGCCTTCCACACCCCTGCCTGTGCAGCCCAGACCCACCCAGCATCCCCCTCCCAACAGCAACCTGGCAAGGGCCCCCTGGGCGTGACCAGGGGCCTCATCCAAGGAACATGAAAAAGGAACTTTTCTCTATGAAACCTCAGCTTGGAGGGCAACGGTGAAAATGGCAAACTGGTTCCTGCCTGAGATCTCTGGGGCTGGGACACAAGCAGCTGGGGGGGGGGCAAGGGGGGGGGCAGGGAGGAGAGAAAATAGAAGCAATTTGCCAAGTCTTAGCTTTATGCCAAGTGGTTAGGTGGCTGCATTGCAAATCCCCAACAAGGAGACAGTTCTGGGGGCAGCCTGAGCAGGAATGGGCCACGGTCCATCTATCTCTGTTTCCACCTCCCCCCACACATCACTTGCTGTCGGATGCCTGAGGGGGTCCCTTAGCTTGGAGTGGGCAGGGGCGCTCGCCCTGGCTGTGTCTGCTCTGTGCCCCTGAAAGTGTCAATCCAGCACCAGTCACCGGAGCGAAATTCTCTCTCACACACGTGTAAGAGCATTTCTGCTTCCCATCCCTCGAAGACCCCCAGGGAAGCCCTTGTGGAGTCCCTGCCCCACTGCCGGGCTGGGGGAAAGCAGAGGATGGTGGGAGAAAAACCGGGCAAACCGTGCACATCCAAAGGCAGATTTATCCAGCCCAGGCCCCTTTGTGGGGCAGGGGGTTACGTCCCTTTTGCTGTACAGCTCCAGGGGACACACAGCAAACTCATTCAGATGAGCCACTGGGGGATTCTTTCTGGCCCTCCCCTCACCCTTGCTCCATTCCTGCTGTCAGGTGAGGTGTGCCCTGCACGCCACGGGAAACTGAACTGAACGCTCCTTGCTGGGCTGGCGGAAGCTCTGGTACCCCAGGACACAGGAGGGTTTTCACCTGACCTGACTCCATCAGATGCTGCCTTCCCCCCAGGGATAACCCTTTCCCTGCCCCAGGGGTAACAATGTCTGGGCTCCAGCACAGAGCCCCTGGGCTCACTCACTCACGGTTCCACAAACTGGTCACTAACACAGTCCTGGGGTCCCCTTGTCCCCCAGGAACAGCTCCAGCCCAGCACCGATAGCTCAGGACCCAAAGCCAGCTCAGGCTCCCGGCCAGCACACATGCGCTGAGCGCGCTGTAGCAGGACAAATCGCTCTCTGATGGCCTCAGAGGCACTCAGCCAGAAAGCAAGCTAGCCCAGGGATGTGTAACTTACAGGTGTCTGGGCCTGAAGGCTTCCAGGAGTCTCATCAAATTGAGACGGGTACCTGAGCTCTCTCAATCTGAGGGCCAGACCCACCGAGGTACCTGGGCCCTGCAGCGCTGGGCACTGTAACAGCCACCATAGGTGCCCTGCCTCATGGAGTCCCCAGCCCCGAGCTGGGTGCCCAGGCTCCCCATTCGATGCATGGGGAGAGTCCCGGATCCGCAGGAGCCAGCCCGCTGTCTCCAAAGCAGGAGTGAAATGTGGAGCAAAGGGGCAGGGCTCAGCGCCCAGCTCCCCGAAGGTCTGGGGGCCTCGACTGACAGGCTGGAATCCCTCCACTTGGGAGCCTGAAGTGTGAGCCCTTTTCTGGGCCAGGTCAGCAGCTGAGATAGCCCAGGCCTGGCTTGGGAAGTGAGCCCGTCACCCAGGGGTCAATGCACTCACCCGGAGGTGGCAGGTCCCTGCTAGGTCAGCCCGGCTGTGTGGCTGCAGCACAGACGAGCCTGTAACTGACTAGCTAGTCCTTGGAGCAGTGCCCTGACCCCCAGCTGACCGAGTCAGTCTCCCTGGCCCAGGAACAAAGGGAAAAGGCTCCAACAGGAAAGAGCCAGCCCCACCCAGACCAGCCTGGTGGCTGGGGCTCTCCGCTGGGCTGCGGGAGACCCGGGTTCACATCCCTGCGGCTGATCAGGCAGAGCCACGACTTGAATCTGGGTGTCCCACCCGGCCAGCAGGACACACACAAATTCCCAGCCTGCTCGCCCGCCGTTGTCCTTTGTCAGGCGCCCCGAGTGCACGGACGGGCTCGGGCCCAGTGGCGAACGCCTGGCTTGAGAACCCGGGCGGCTCATTAGCTGTGGGGCCAGCAGATACTTGGGTGCCTGTGGGGTTCGCTGGCAGCCGAGGGGCAGTTTTGAGAATGTCAGTGGGGCCCAAAAGGTGGAGTGAGGTGTCTAACTCCCTGTGTGCTCTGGTCCTGCCTGGCGTACACACACCCCCGCAGTGCCAGGCCTTGGTCAGCGGTTGTGCTTTTCCCTGGAGGAAAGCGTCATGTTGCCTAACATTTCCCCCATGGCAACTAGCACCTTAACCCCTTCACTGCTGCACTTGAGTCAGCTGCAGTTCCACCACGCCAGCCACAGTGAATGCAATGCTAGCGTGTGAGAACCTATCTCAAGAAGTTTTAATACACTTGCAAACCGGATTACAGAGTACATATCACCGAGCCGGCGCGTACGCTCTGAAGAACTGGGATGTGTTTACGCAGGTTATTTGAGTGGGCACTGGCTAAAGTTAGTGAAACGTTATGCCCCCATGTAGACAAGCCCTTGCCCTCGAGGCACGTAAGTACGGTATTATCCTCACCTACAGGAGTCTTGTGGCTGATGCACAGGACTGGGAGTCAGGAGACGTGGGTTTTAGTTCTGGCTCTGCCACTGGCTCCTTAGGCAAGTCATTTCCCCTCTCTGTGCCTCACTTTCCCCACCTGAAAAATGGGAATAATAGTACTCTCCTGCCTCTCAAGGGGGTTGTGATGCTTAACGCACTCACGCTTGTGAAATGCTTTGAGATCCTCAGATTAAGGCAGCCATAGCACTGAGGATTATTTTACAGCTGGGTAAACTGAGGCACAGAGAGGTTAGTGACTTGCCCAGGGTCACACTTGGTTGTAACCAGAACCCAGGAGCTGGGCGTAATAAGTGCTACTACTTAGCTCTTACACATCTCCCCACACTGCAAACAATCCAGGGAAAGAATCACTATCCCCACTTTTCAGATGAGGAAATGGAGTCCCAGGGACAGGAAGCAACTTTCCCAAGGTGTCAGCGCAGGAACAGAGCCCAGGACTGAGTGTCTTCTGCTCTAACACTAGCCCACACACTCTTTCTAGCTCAGCCACATCAATCACAAAGTCAAAACCCAACCTCAAGGCCAGAGGTAAAGCTATAGAGTGACCCCCCGGAACAAAGAGCTGCAGATACCGGGACCAGTTCACGTCACGAAAGCACTTGCTATCCCCAGGGGATGGGGTGGAATGATACTGGACAGTCAGCTCCGTGCGTACAGCACGGGGCCCTATGGCCTCTCTAGGCCCCCCGACTAGAGCCTTGTGGTGCTACAAATGATGCCATCACAAATCAGCTGCAGACTGGGGGCCTGCCTGGAAGAGGTTTTAATCAAACATTGGGCTCAGTGGGGGAAGAGTGACTGGGGGAAACTCTCTGGCCTGTGGTCTACAGGAGGTCGGACTGAGTGATCTAATCATCCCTTCTGGCCTTAAGCTCTCTGAATCTATGATATGCCCCTTTGCTCCAAGGCTTGCGCTGTATGGTTCAGTACGAGTTCCTGGCCACATTCACGCCAGCTCGGGGTCTCTGGCCATCTCACTTGCATTCCAAACTCCTGTTCCCAGAGTCAAATCTTGAGTTTAAAAGAAGTCGCCCCAGCAGAAATGCCGCATTCAGGCTTTGGGGTTTAGTTATTAATTTAGCACTGGTGAGAAGGGCCAGGTGGAGCAGCCTGCCCGCCCTGGCGAATGTCACACTCGCCTCGAGTGATGCCTTCAGGGGTAACAGGGCGACGGCAGATTTCCAAACAGCCCTACATGCTGGGGGCACTGTGGGTGCTGAGCTGTGAGAACCAGGCACCGTGGGGGGCTGCTGAGCACGTGGAAATCCAGCACAGAGGCTGCAGGACCCACGCAGGCCTTGGCGTCGCAGCCCTGGCTGCCGGCACGGGGCTCCTTCACGACCAGCTGCGACGCGGGAACGGGACGGAGACCCACCAAACTCATTGTGTACTGGCCACTGAGCAGTGGTCACTATTATGCTGGGTTAGTTGTGAAAGCAGCCTAGAGGCCTCGTATTGCACCACCACCCCTGGGCCAGCCAGTCCCCCGGACACTTGACTTTTGGATCGCGAACAACTGTGGATTTTATTGCACAAAACATTTACTGCAACAAAATGGGCATTAACTCCTTAGTTGCTGCAGCCTCTTTGCTCCCCCATGTTCCTGGGGCATCCCCAACGAACAGTGGCCACGTACCCAAGACCTGGGGCAGAGCTGGACATGGGGCCTGTTGTCAAGTGGATTGAGTGGGAATCAGCAGCACCCATGGATGGCAATGGGAGACTCCAGCAGGTCTTTTGCCCTGGAGGAAGGGAGTCCCTGGCCACAGCCCAGGCAGGTCCCCATAGTCAGGTCCTCAGTGCGGGTTGGAAGCGAAGACGGGGCAGCTCTATGGAAGGGAACGCTGCCCAGCTGGGAGAGTGGACCCGGCCTGCATCTGCCAGGCACCACAGGCCCCCACCAGAGCCCAACTCCAGCCGTGCCAGAGCCCCCATCCTGGGGCAGCCCTTGCCCACCCGAAGTGCTCTCAGCACCCACTGCCCCCTCTGCAGCTTGCAGCCCCCCAGCCCATGAATCCAGCTGGGAGCAGGGTCTGTTTCATCCGTAACCTGCCCTCCTGGCCAGTTCTGGAGGGGGGCTCAGCTCCGGCTGAGGCCAGTGGGGGGGGGGGGGGGGATGTTCCACAGACATGGGAGGGGGGATTACAATAAAGCCAAGTGTCCAGCCCACAGACAGCTATTAACCCCTCACCCCAGTCCTACCCCGGAGGGAAGCCCTGCCCTCTGTGTCTTGGCCCAGGTTCCTGGGGGGCAGCCACTCATCTGCACCTTTGCCTGGAGCCCTGGGGGCTGCCCCCCACCTGTCTGCGCCTTGGCCCGGAGCCCTGGGGGCTCCCCCGACCTGTCTGCGCCTTGGCCCGGAGCCCTGGGGGCTGCTTCCACCCCACCCCCAGGTCGGTGCCTTGGCCCGGGGAAGGCTCCCGGCAGCAGCACAGGGCCAGAGGCCGGTTCTGTAACCGGACCCCCAACAGCAGCGTCCCAGCTCCCCCCGCCGGACCCCGCGCAGCCCTCGCCGAGCCAGCCGGGCCGGGGGGAGACGAGCAGGAGCCGCGCCCAGCAGCGAACTCCCGCCCCGGACCCCAGGGGCTGTGACCCGCCCGGCTGGGGCAGGAGTCGGGCCCGGCTCGGGGGCACAGCGTGGGGCGCATCCCCGGGCGAGCCCCAGCGCCCATCCTCGCGGCTTCGGGCCCGCGGGCCGAACACTCCCGTCCCGCACTTCGGGGAAGTTCCGATCCGGATGCCTTGGCGCGAGCCTGGCCCGAGCTGTATCCGAGACACCCCCGCCCCCAAGTGTTCGCCTTGCCCGGGGTCCGGGGGGCTGCCGGGCTGCGGGGTGTCTGGGCAGGATCGGGCCCGGGCCCGGGCCGGGCGGACGGGGCGGGGGGCCCCGGGCACTCACCCATTTTCTTTAAGGCTCTGTCCGGGCGCCTGGTGCCGCCGCCGCCGCCGTCCTGCGGGGGCTGCTCCGGCCGGGATTTCTTCCTCCAGCCGCAGATCATGGTGTCCGGGCCAGGCCGAGCCCCGGGGCCACCCCGCCCGCCGCGGGCTCCCTGCGCGGAGCGAGCCGCCTGCGCGCGGGTCTCCGAGCCGCGGAGCCAGCGCCCGTCCCAGCCGGCGCGGGGAGGCGCAGGGAAGGAGTCACATTTCAGGGCACGGAGAGCGATTATGAACCGCGTGGGGCTGGAGAGCTCCTCCCACGGGCTGCGCCGCCCCGGGCCACCGCACCAGCGGGAGCGCCTGTTTGCTGCGCGGGGGGGGGCGGAGGGGCACAGCCTAGCAGGGCCGCCCGGGGCGGGGGGGCAAGTGGGGCGATTTGCCCCGGGCCCCGCAGGGGCCCCCACGAGAGTTTTTCGGGGCCCCTGGAGCGGAGTCCTTCATTCGCTCCGGGGTCCCCGGAAAACTCTCGCGGGGACCGGGCCCCGGGAGCTTCTTTCGCTCCGGGTCTTCGGCGGCGGAGGGGGGTCCCTCCGTCCCGGGACCCGCCGCCGAAGTGCCCTGAAGACCCGCGGCGGGGGGTCCTTCCGCCCCGGGACCCGCCGCCGAAGTGCCGGGTCTTCGGCGGCGGGGGCCCCCTGCCGCCGAAGACCCCAGGCCCCCGAATCCTCTGGGCGGCCCTGCAGCCCAGCACCCCTGGGGCAACACCTCCCAAACTGGGTCTGTGAGCCCGGAGCAGCAGGAGACGGGCACTGCCCCAGGGCAGCAGATGGGCTCTGTGAGTCTGTAGTGGCAGGAGACGGGCACTGCCCCAGGGCAGGAGATGGGCTCTGTGAGCCTGTAGTGGCAGGAGACGGGCACTGCCCCAGGGCAGGAGATGGGCTCTGTGAGCCTGTAGTGGCAG